TTCAGCAGAGGGTCTCACAGTGTGCACTTATAATACCTTCTTGACTGGAAACCCTGCTTATGGCTTTCTTGAAAAAGAAAGAAAGAAAAAAAAACTTTTTAAGGAGATTCAACCTATATGTCAGGTGTTCATTTGAAAGCTGGTACAGGGGGACTTCCCTGGTGGTGCAGTGGTTAAGAATCCACCTGCCAATGCAGGGGACACGGGTTCAAGCCCTGGTCTGGAGAGACTCCACATGCCATGGAGCAACTAAGCCCATGCGCCACAACTACTGAGCCTGTACTCTAGAGCTCACGAGCCACAACTACTGAGCCCAGGTGCCACATCTACTTAAGCCTGTGCTCCTAGAGCCCATGCTCTGCAACAAGAGAAGACACTGCAATGAGAAGCCTGCACGCCACAATGAAGAGTAGTGCCCATTCACGCAACCAGAGAAAGCCCGCGCGCAGAAATGAGGACCCAGTGCAGCCAAAGTAAATTAATTAATTAATTATTTTTAAAAAGCTAGTACAGGGCAAGATAAGCATGCCTTATAAATTTACAAAACTTATTAACTGATGGACTATAGAATATAATGTACCACTTATTACAAAACATTTATTCAGTAAACATTTATTGATTATCTGGCCTTGAATCCCAGCTCTGCTACTTAGTAGTTGTGTAATCTTGGGAAAGTTACTTAAGTTCTCTGTGACAGCATCCTCTTCTATAAAGGACAATTGTAGGGTTTAAATGAGGTAAAATATATAAAGCACTTAGAATAGTGCCTAGCACGTAAGTGCTCACTAAACATTAGACATTATTCTTATTGTTAGGGAGAAACACTTACTCTGCACTCCCATGCTTCCACATAGGAGAAAAACTTTCCACTCCATTTCCCAGGAAAGAAGGTTATAAAGAAAAAAAAAAAAAAGTCTACTTTTTCTGTGTCCTTCACTCACTCCTCCCCAGAATAGGCAGGAGCTTGACTGCTGAGTTTGGGAGACGAAACTGAATATGACCGCCTTAGTTCTTTCCAGGTTCCCTCCCATTCAGGAACAGCCTGTGTAAAGTACACATAAATTCTGCTTTTGTCTTGGAGGGTCAGGATCTGTCCCTGTAAGGGGAAGAACGCAGTTTTTCTTGTTTTGTTATTTGGTGGCATGGGGATTCATTTTGGGAGAAAGTACTATATACAAGCTCTTTCAGTTGCAGAATTTAAGCCACATTTGCCAATTAGTTTTATCAGTAATAACGCCAACATTCTGATCTCCATTTTTTTGTGTGTGTGTGTGTGTTTTAGCTACTTTTATTATTTATTACCAATAAACCAACACATTCATTAGACCCATGACCACCTTTTAAAGTCCAAACCATGCAAGTGCCATGATCCAGGGCATGACTTAAAAAGCGATTATCATGACTATATCTTCATGCCCCCAACAGGGTTTTTATTCAATGAATTATATCTTTTCTTCTAAATTTTACCTACTTGTTAAGAGTAGGGTGATGACATAATATTTGATAGTCCCTAACCTCCATCTATAAAGATACTTTAATTTTTTCCTTCTGCGGTTTCCCGCAAACATAAGTCATTTAAACAGAATGTCTATGCATTTATGCAAGATACATTGATTGTAATGAAAACATACATACTGCATTAATAAAGAAGGGTCTCAAATTTATGGTCCCTGATACTTCTAGACTAAGGATTTATCTAATAATGCATTCTTTATCTTTGCCAATAATGCACAGCCATGGAAAATCCATATGTATTCTTATTCTGGCCAATTCTCTTTCCATATAAAGAAGATAAGAAGTCAGCTCGGTGCTTTGTGACCACCTGGAGGGGTGGGATAGGGAGGGTGGGAGGGAGGGAGACGGAAGAGGGAAGAGATATGGGAACACACGCACATGCACAACTGATTCACTTTGTTATAAAGCAGAAACCAACACACCATTGTAAAGCAATTATACCACAATAAAGATGTTTAAAAAATAAAAATAAAAAAGAAGATAAGAAGTTACACTGCAGGAAGTTCTGCCCATTGGGAGGATTTCCCATCTCTTCTGTCTTTAAGGATCACTCTATATGGGATTGAAACACAGCCACCATCCATTTTTGGTTCATAAAATATACCAGGCTTATATAAACCAAGCTCATAATTTTTCTTCCTTCTCTCACAAATGGAATCCCATGTTACCAATGGGTTTGAGCTGAGGGAGCAGCCACAGTGTGACAGTGGAGACGTTATAGGGTTCTGGGCCAACTCTTTGTGCACCCTGCCTGTGTTTCCAACCCAGCTCTTGCATGATCCTGGCTCTACCACCTGATCTCCATTTATCACCTGGCTTATTTCTAAACTTGTTCCAAATTCAGGAGAAGAAGAAAGGGTTATTAGTTATTGACCTACCCGAAATCTCAACTACTATTAGCCTCTGGCTACAAAATTCTTAGGGAGATTACATACAGTAAGAGATATAAAGCTCTTAAAACATTGTTTGATACATAATATATTCAACAGATGTTAACTATTAATATTATTACTATATGCCAGATATTGTGCTAGATGGTGAGTTGGTTACCTGTTACAGGAGGAGCTTAATCCTTCAACAGACTCAGGATGGCTAACCCTATAAATGGGACATTACAAACAACAGCAGTGGCAGTTCCCACAATTCTCTCATTAAATAAAACATTTTTACTAAGCAAATACCATGTTAAGGACTATGATAGGTACTAGGAATTCAAAATTACATATGGGAATCTGTCCTTAAGAAGCTTACAGACTAGAAAGGAATAAAGAGCTATAAAGTGGTAAAACCTATGTCAAAGGTATACATAGGGTGCTGATATACCATAGGAACTTAGAAGATGAGGGCTTTAAAATAAAGAAAAAAAGTTTAATAGAGCTTCAACTGAGTTTTGATGAAGTCACCTAGAATAGCTTGCATTTTGCCCAACTGCATGGGCCTTTTTCAGTCTTCATCTTTTTTGACCACCCTCTCCTTAAAAACCAAAACCCAAACCAAAACAAAAACCTCTCTTTCTTTAGCCTCTGAGATGCGACAAGAGACTTCACTCTTTTCCTCATCTATCTCTCACCATTCCTTCTCAGCCACCTTTTCCAAAGCCTCCTCCCATATTTGGCCTCTAAAAGTTGGAGACCCTCACAGGCCCCCTGCTATTAAGCCCCTTTTTTCTCACTGTACAGCTTGTCACTGGTCTATCTTATCTGAACTCACGATTTCAATAACTATTTGCCATTATTATATCTCTATATTTAAATCTCTAACCTACTTCTCTCCTCTGAACTCCAGACTCATCTAATCCAAATGCCTACTTTACACATGGATATCTTGAAGGTATCTCAAAGCCCATGTGATCAAATCTCAACTCACTCACGATCTGCCTCCAACAAAGCTGTCTTCCTCCAGCGTCCTTAGTTCTCTCAGTGCCTGGCACCTTCATCCATCTGGTTACTTCATCTAAGCCAGAAACCCGAAAGTCATCCTTTAACACCTTCTTTTTCCCTACACCCTAAATTCAAACCATCACCAAGTCCTACTGATTTTACCTCCTAAAACTTTCCTACATCTATCTGCTATTCTACCATAAACCTGTTTCAAAGTATCAAATCTCTCACCCTCCGTACTGTAAGATCCTTCTTACTATTTCCCACATATATTCTTGCCTCTTCTACAATCAGTCCTTAAAGCAGCCAGAGTGAAATTATTAAAACACAAATCTAATTATATCTCTGCCATGCTAAAAATCCTTCAACACACTCTACTGCTCTTAGGATAAAACCCTTCAAAAGGTTCTGTGTTACGTGGTCCCTGTCTACCTCTCCAGCCTCCTCTGGTATCCTTCTCCCTTATCACCCAGACTTTCCTTCAGTCCCCAAAACTCACCACTTCCCCTAGCATTTCATAGCCTTCCAACATGTTACCCTCCTCTACCCGGAATGCTCTCTCTGTTCAGCCTCCATCCCTCCACATTGTTCATTTCTATTCATCCTCTGGATTGTAACCTTAAAAGTCAAGTCCCCGTAGAACTTTCTTGAGCCACTAGAGTAGTTAAGATCCTCATCACATGCTTTTATAGCACCCACCAACATTGTGTTTATATAGTTATCTATCAGGTTACCTTATCAGTGCTTGTCTCCCTCATACACTCCATGACAGCAGGGAAAAAAAAAATCTGTTTGCTCACCATTGTACCCTTAGCACTTAGAGCACAGTAGCTGATGTACAGCAGGTGCTCAGTAAATAGCTGTTGAATGAATGAAGCATTCTAGCAAGAGCATTTCAGACAACCAAGAATTAGAAAACAACATGATCACTAAGAGGAAATAATGTAGAAAATTCACCTCATTGGTTTGTGGCTAGTATTAAGTAGGATAAAGAACATGAATCACCTGGCATGGTGCCACAGATAGCAGGTACTTGGTAAATACCTCTCCTTTCTCTAATCACCTTTAGATACAGACAGCACAGACTATAATATAAATGACTACAATATAACTTGCCTCAGGTTTCTTAAATTTATTCAAAGTTGTAAAATATTTCTGAAACATTTAATAAAATTGTATTACACTTAATTAAAATTCATTATTCTTCCTTAACCTCTAAAGAATTATGTAGAAAACAGCTACATGAGATTTTCTCTTAGGAAAATTAATATAATCTGGATTTAGAAAAGATGTGTTGATGTGGTTACAAAATGAGTTTTCACTTTAAGCATTCACCCTAAGCCACACTAAACAACAAACATAATGATACTTAAAACATGATTCTATTTACACAGAGCTTTTACCTGATACATCAAAGCACACCTGCACTAAACAAAACTCACAGTGTTATGCAAATCCCCTTACCTTATGTTCAAATGGAGCACCATAATAGCCATCATTCAGCCCAAAAATTATTTCATTTTGGTTGCGGGCATGAATCTAAGAGAGGAGGAAAACACATTATTAGTTCACCTCATTCCAATCAAGTTTTAATGTGATTAGAAAATGACAGGACCTACTTCAATGTTGAGAAATAGGTTGGCTACGTCTAACAAGCCAGCAGAAAACAAAACACTTATCATAAGACCAGGTGATCAATTTAGAGTTTCCTGCTTTAGTCAAAGTCCTCGCAAAATCATCACATGAGATCACAGGCACCATCATATTCACACACATTTTTCACAAACACTTCTTGAGGTTGTTACAGAAAGCATATTCCTTAAGTATAGGGGATTCAGAGGCACACTATACATTCTCTGATCTCAGAGAACACACAGCCCAGTTAGTCTATTAGAGTGCTTTAAAAATCAAGAAGCTCTAGAAAAAACATAAAAGATAAATATTATTTTCTAATTTCAAAAAGACAGTTCAAAGATAATATCCAATCCTCAAAGTCTTTAAAAGTCTACTAATTATTTTCTGTCTACTACTCTCTTTCAAATGCAACTGATTCGAGCTTCAGTCAGTGCCAACCTCGAATTAAAACTTCACCTAAAAGGTGGGAGAATTAAAACTTTTAAAATTGGGCTTCCCTGGTGGCGCAGTGCTTGAGAGTCCGCCTGCCGGTGACCACCACGCGGGTTCGTGCCCCGTTTCGGGAGGATCCCACATGCCGCGGAGCGGCTGGGCCCGTGAGCCATGGCCGCTGGGCCTGCGCGTCCGGAGCCTGTGCTCCGCAAATGGGAGAGGCCACGACAGTGAGAGGCCCGCATAACGCAAGAAAAAAAAAGAAAAAAAAAAAAAAAAAAAAAAAAAAAAAACTTTTAAAATTGAAGAACTAAGATTTTTTTTTAAATTCAAAATACTATAAAGTCTATAAAAACAGATTTAGTTACTTGATCAGAAAGAACTGTGGCTAAAACAATTTTAATTGCTTCTGCAGTGAAGGATTAATGTGAGGGTTCAAGTGGGGAATTACCAGAATAGAATATTTCATCTCTTCTTTCTAGCTAGAGATAGAAAGGTTAAAGCCAGCAGTAGAAGATTCCTGTGAACATTTATCTGACTTCCATACTTGCTACATCTATTACTAAAGCAAAATTAATCACATGCTCCCTGTTTACCTACATCATTTACTTAACTGAATACAATACCAAAAGATGGGCCTGCAATAATAAACTTATAATGAAAACTATAAACCAATTTCAAGAAGTGTTTCATTTTATGAGAGAAAAAGAGAAAGCACTACGAAATCAGTTTTAAGATTAGAAGAAACTCAAAATTTTACAAACATAGAATATATTACACACATATATACCTCAGGAGAAAAAAGATTAAATAAAATCATATGCATCAAAATGTTAACAATGGTTGCAGCTGGGCAGAAGGAGTACACATAATTTTTTATTCTCCTCTCTGTGCTTTTCAAAATTTTCCAAACTGTCCACAAAGTGCATGGATCACTTTTAAAATCAGAAAAATACATGCCATTTAAAGAAAGGGTGGGGTGAGATTATGGGCAGGAGTGAATCTAACACGAAGGTAAAGTTTTCAAAGCATAAGCCTCATAAAGATGGGCATTAAATTAACTTGTTGAAAAATATGACACAACATGGTTCTAGGACTTGAAAAGATACTGGGCTTAAAAAGAAAAAAAATTCAAGTGATCTGAGTTCTAATTCCAACCTTCTAGTGCTTCATAAGGAACTCTGACTTTATAGCTCTAGTGCCTAGCACTCTACTCAACATATAATCGCTAATCAATGTTAATGGGCCATGCTTTAAATCCCTCATCAGCCAAAAGCAGAAACACTCCTTGTTCTGTTTTATAGTGGTGTCTTACAGATGAAATGAATCCAATTATCACTGGATATGAAAGTACTTTTGGAAGTTAGACACAAACAATACTGGGGGGGAAAAATCAGAATCAGTCAACCATAGAGCCCTTTGTTCCTGATTAATAAAGAAAATTAACAACACAGGCTGCATGATACTCCATACTACTTACTATCCTTTACCATTAATTATAGATCACTGACCCCAAAACGTGTCAGAATCTTAATATGGAGACTACCGAATATAGAGCCTTTTAATTCAACCACAATCTTGTATTTTGATCCCTCTATGAAAAAAGGCACACTTTTTAAAGACAGATAATCAAAATTGGTGAAATGAATAATAAATATAGTCTGAGCAATGGAACAAATAATAGCCTAAATCCACCAATCACTGTGTGACCTTTAACAAGTTACTTAATTTCTCTGAGCTTCTGTTTTCTCAGTTAAATACTGACAGGAAAATAATACTTGCTCACATGACCTTCAAAAGGCCCAAAGTCACTGGGTGCAAGTAAAATGATTGTATGAATGTAAAAAGATACCCAAACACTGAAAGAGTATACAATCGCTGTTGGTATTAATACAAAGTTCTAACCACTTAAACTAAGCACAAGAACTTCTGCCACCGCAAGTACCCCATATAAGCATTATCAACAAATTCTCCAAATTCCCACCTTGAATAGAGCTATTTTCAAACTCCTCTGCTTCTTTGTCCAAAATTCAAGTCAAAACCAACTTTAGTTCATGACTTCTGGGGAAAAGTTCCTGATTAACTCTCTTGTCTCTAAAGGCTATTCAGGAAATTGGCTTGTAGTTGTAGCTCCGGCTACTGTGGACAAACTGCATCATCACTCTGTCCATTCAAATGACAGCAAAATACACATGACATGTACATGAAACACTTACCAAGACAGACCATAAAATAAATCTCAAAAAGGTTAAAAGAATTAAAATAATACGATATTCTCTAAACACGACAGAATTAAAGTAGAAATCAACAAAAGAAGGATATCTGAAAACTCCACAAATGTTTGAAAATTAAACAACATACCTCTCAATAACCCTTCGGTCAAGAAGAAATAAAAGAGAAATTAGGAAATATTTCAAATAGAACAAAACTGAGGGTCACAGCTAAAGCAATGCTTAGAGGAAAATTTATTAAATGCTTACTTTAGAAAACAGAAGTCTCAAATCAGTAATCTAGGAATCCTACTTTAAGAAACTAGCAAATTAGAGCAAATTAAACCCAAAGCAGGCAAAAGGAAGAAAATAATAAGAGTAAAAGCAGAAACCAACGAGGGACTTTCCTGGTGCTTCAATGGTTAAGACTCTGCGCTCCCAGTGCAGGAGGCCCAGGTTTGATCCCTGGTCAGGTAATTAGATCCCACATGCTCCAACTAAGACCTGGCGAAGCCAAATAAATGAATTTTTTTTTTTTTTCCTGGTACGCGGGCCTCTCACTGTTGGGGCCCCTCCCATTGCGGAGCACAGGCTCTGGACGCGCAGGCTCAGCGGCCATGGCTCACGGGCCCAGCCGCTCCACGGCATGTGGGATCTTCCCGGACCAGGGCACGAACCCGTGTCCCCTGCATCGGCAGGTGGACTCTCAACCACTGCGCCACCAGGGAAGCCCCAGTAAATATTTTTTTAAAAAAGGAAAAAAGCAGAAATTAATGAAATTGAAAAAAATAACAATAATAAATGAAACCTCTTTCGGTGATCTGCAACCCAATTTCAATCGGGTGGGTGGGTAGTTCCCACACCAACAATAAGCAATTCTTGGACACCAGCAGGGTGTCCTGCTCTCAGGCCTGCATCAGATTCCACAGGTTAAGGGTTCAGTCCTACAAGACTGCCCCCCACACATGGAAGGCCAGTCAAAAACCCAGATTGCTATCTGTGCTTCTAATTAACTGGCTACAGATTAGAGGTTCCAATTTAGAATGTCAATCCCAAGTACAGGTGTTACCTGTACTTCTGACCAACGGGCTGTAAATCAGCGGTTCCCACAACCTAGTCCTCAGGTTCGATTAATTTGCTAGCGTGGCTCGCAGAACTCAGAGAAATATTTTACTTACTGATCACCAGTTTATTAAGAATGTAACTCAGGGAACAGCCAAATAGAAGAGCTGCATAGGGCAAGGTATGGGGAAAGGGCACAAAGCTTCTATGCCCTCTCAAAGTGCATCATACTGCCCAATCTCTATGTGTTCACCAACTCAGAAGCTCTCAGAACCCCATCCTTTGGAGTTTTTATGGAGGCTTTATTACACAGGCATGATTGATTAAATCATTGACCATTGGCAATTGATTCAACCTCCAATCCCTCATCCTCTCCCAAGAGGTCAGACTGTGGGACTGAAAGTTCCAATCCTCTAATCCTCTTATCTCATGGTTGCTCCGTGGGCAACCCGCCCCCACCCTTAGGTGCTTTTCAAAAGTCACCTCATTAACATAACAAAAGACGCCTTTATCACATTCAACACTTAGGAAATTCCAAGAGTTCTAGAAGTGAGCCAAGAACTGTGCATCAAATATATATATTTCTTATAAAACACAATATTGCAAAACCAAACACTAGATCTTTGAAAAGCTGATAAAACTGATAAATCTCTATTCAGAGTAATCAAGAGAAAAAGGGAGAAGACAGAAATTACCAGCAGCAAGAATGAAATAGGAAAGGATCATTATATATCTACATACTTTAAAGGGATATGGTAATATTGTGGGAAATTGTTTTTTTTTTTTTTAATTTTTTGGCCGGACCTCGCAGCATGTGGGATCTTAGTTCCCGGAACAGGGATGGAACCCATGCCCCCTACAATGGAAGCACAGACTCTTAACCACTGGACCACCAGGGAAGTCCCTGTGGGAAATTTTACACCAATAAATTTGAAATCGCACGTGAAAGTGACAAATTCTTTGGAAGAGAAGTATCAAAGCTCACTTAGGAATTCTCAGATAACCTAAACAGCCCCACAGCTAATAAAGTAATTGAAGTCATACTTTTAAACTTTCTCACAAAGAAATCTTAACAACCAGATGGCTTCACTGAAGAACAATTCTACACAAATTCCTCCAGAAAATATAAGAATAGTTACACTTCCCAATCCATTTTATGAAGCCAGCATTACTCCCATACTAAACCACACAAGGACATTG